CAATTCCAGGGGCAAGGGCACATCACCCCCTAACTTGAACCTGGCCCAGCCAGCCGTCAACCCCGCCGGCAGCCACCAACCCTCGCTGCCGTTGCTGCCCGTCAGCTCCTACCTTGCTGCTGCCGAGCGCCCAGTGCACCACCACCGCCGCCGCCGCCTCGAACCCCTCTGCCCAAACCCGTCAACTTGCGCTTGCCACATCCTTTCCTCTCCCCGACGACACAACATCGCGCACAACGCACAAACAACTTTCCGAATAAACTCTGCCACCGATCCGCCTCCCCCCTCTCCTTCACCATGGCCGAGAAACCCTCAGTCCTCATCATCGGAGGGCTGGGCTACATTGGTCGGTTCCTGGCCCGCTACATCCACGACAACGACCTCGCATCAGAGGTCCGCGTCGTCGACAAGGCCCTGCCCCAACTCGCGTGGCTGGCTCCCGAGTTCCAGGACGCCTGTGCCGGCACCAAGTTCATGCAGGCTGATGCAAGCAGAGAACGTAAGTTACCCGGATGAACCACCAAGAACGCGACACTATCCCCCCTTTCCCTTTCCCTTTTCCGCTCCCTCTTCTGTCACTCGCCTTCCCTCTTCGGCCTAGTGATATGGACCAGCCTGCGGCCGTCCCCGGACATCCCACCAAGATTGCCGCTCTTGACTGACATCATCTCGCCCTTGTGCAGAAGCTCTAGCCAAGATATTCGACCGCCCCGATGGCAAGCAGTGGGATTACGTCTTCAATTGCGGCGGCGAGACAAGATATTCGCAGGAGGACGAGGTTTACAAGCTGCGCTCCCTCGGCCTGTCGCTTGCCGTGGGCAAGGAGGCTGCCAAGCGCAAGGCCAAGGCCTTTATCGAGCTCAGCACCGGCATGGTCTACAAATCCGACTCGTCCCCGAGCAAGGAGGGCGACAAGTTGAAGCCCTGGAGCAAGATTGCCGTCTACAAGTTACAGGCTGAAGAGGAGCTCGCAAAGATTAAGGGGTACGAATCCCACCTGGCATTTGCCATTGAGGGTTCACGGGGCTCGGCCCATGATCCCCCCCCCCCCCCCCCCCCCCCCCCAAAAAATTTTTTTTGGAGGGCACACAAGGGCCCGCAATTTGAATTTAAACCCCCCATTTTTTTGTTTGGCCAGCTTCCCCGGCCCCTTGGCCCAAAAAGGGGGGCGGCGGGACGCTAAAACTGGCCCGGGGGGTGCCAATAACTTTAAAAAAAAAAGAGTTTTTGGGTTAAGGAAAAGCTTTTTGTAATAAGCGGGGCACTAAAAAATGGTGGGGGAGCCCGCGTGGGATATTCCCAGCGGTTAAAAACGGCCAAAGAAAGGCGAACAAAAACACATTGTGGGTGTGGTCCCCATCTCTACTCGTTGAAATGGGGTGGGCCGC